AGATTTTTTTTTCCCATTTAGGTCCTTTCAAAAAACAACCAAAGATGACTAATGTAGATTAAATTAATGTATGTTAAATCCAAATCTAAGTTTCTTTCTTGTTATTTCTTGTATTTTCCCCATAATTTGCAGAATTACACAACAGAAATAGACAGACCCAAGGTATAGAGTGTTCAATCTGAAATTACATCATCTTGTTCAGTAAGATATCACAGAGGGAAAAGGAGTTGTGTCACCAAGCCTAAGGGTGACTTGGATCCCCAGTTGGAAAGAACCAATTCCTGCAAATGGTTCTCTAACAAATAGTAGTGAGCACCAATACCTGCAAATTGTTCTCTAACCTCCATACATGGGACGTAGCACGTGTCTACATGCATGCATGAACACAAACACGCATGCACACACACAAGACAGATGTAAGGGGCTGGGAGATGGCTCAGTGGTTAGGAACATGCTTCACAATAATGAGTACAAAAGTTTGAATCCTAGCATCCATGAAACACAGATATAGAAGTAAATAACAGTTAAAAATCTACACGTTAAACTCCAAATTTTAGAGACTCTGGGAGTAACTCAGTGACATCACATGCTTAGCATAGACAAGGTCCTAGATTAAATCTGGGCACCACATAAAAAAATGACAAATGATAACAACAACAACAATCTCCTAATTTTAAAGTTGAGGGAATCAGGGACCAAACTAATTAACTGGTTTCCCATAACTACTTTTGGCATCATTACCAGACAAAGAAGATTAGAAAAGTGATATATGACCAAAGAACTAAAATCATAAAAACCACACAAGCAAACATATTTCAAAATATGTGTCTAGTGAGAGAGAAAGAGAGTGTGTGTGTGTTTTAGTCAGTATTCAATTGTTGTGAAGAGGCACCATGACCACAGAACTCTTTTTTTTTTTAAGCATTTAATTGAGGTTTGCTTATAGTTCAGAGGTTTAGTCCATTATCAGTCTTGAGTTCCTTATAAAAAATTGAGGAGCTGAAAGTACATTGGCTGCCAATGCCACATTGTCCCCATTGATGCTCCCTTTCCTCACATTAATGTACTTGTGATGCCAGTTGCAATCTCTCTGAAAGACTCCAAGCCTTTGAAAGTAAAATCCCACATCAATATCCAGCTTGGCAGCTCTCCCAGTTCAACATCCATCAGTTTCTTCTTCATCAACAGTACAAATGACTCCATCTTGGAATTCTGGTGATCCCAGATACTTGGGGTTTTGTTTTGTTTTTTTTTTTGGGGGGGGGGGTGGGTTTTTTTTTTTTTTTTTTTTTTGGGGGGGGGGGTTGGTTTTGTTTTATTTTGTTTTTGGAGTCTCACCATGTAGCCTAGACTGACCTTGAACTCTTGGCAATCCTAATGCCCATATACAGTTACATAATAATTAATACAGAGGGTTAGCATCAGTCCTTGGTGTAACCCAAAATCTTTACTTTTTTAACCATTTTGTTTGTTTGTTTTTCAAGACAGGGTCTCTCTGTATATTTCTTTGCTGCCCTAGAACTTACTTTGTAGACCAGGCCTTGAACTCACAGAGATTTGCCTGCCTCTACCTCCCAAGTACTAGGATTAAAGGTGTGGGCCACCACCACCCCAACCTCTATTTTTGGAGTTCTTTTTATTATAATTTCATACATGTATACAATGTATCTTGATCATATCAACCCAACTCCCCTTTCACACTCCCAAGAAGTCCCCTGAATATTTAGTCCTCCCATTTTCACATTCTCTTTTTTAATAATCCATTGAGTTCAACTAGTGCTGCCTGCAAGAGTATGAACAACCAACCAGAAGTTACACCCCCTCCCAGCAGCCATCAACAGCTCCTCAACTAGCAGGAGATCTTTATAGGCTCTGCCCACATCTGCACGAGGATTACTGACAGGCTTGACCTTGTGCAGATAAATCTCTACTTTCAACTATTATTTCTTCTTTTTAAGATGTATTTATTATGTACACAGTGTTCTGTCTGCATGTACCTGCATGCCAGAGGAGGGCACATCTCATTATAGATGGTTGTGAGCCACCAGGTGGTTGCTTGGAACTGAACTCAGGACGTCTGGAAGAATAGCCAGTGCTCTTAACCTCTGAGCCCTCTTTACAGCCTTCAACTATTATTTCTACTAAAGTTTGATCACCTCTGTGAAGGTCAACAGATTAAAAGAGAAATTTATAATCAGAGGCAATTTCAATAATATTGTATAGTTCTGAACACCAGAAGTCCTCATCCTAGACATCCTAGAAGATGGGAGGAGGGACTATCACACAGACCTTTCCCCAGATTAATGTTTTCCTTCAAGAATTTTTAATTGAGGGGTTGGGAGTTGGCTTACTCAGTAAAATACTTGTAAAAGCATGAGAACCTGAGTTAAATCCCAAAATGCATCTGTAACCTCAACACTGAAGAAAAGGAGATAAAAAGATCCCCAGGACTTTCGGGCCAGTCAACCTAGCCTAACCAACAAGCTCCAGGGCAGGCAAGCTAGCCTGCCTTAAATACACAAGGTAAATGGCACCTGAGGAACAACACCTCGAATTGGCCTCAGGCCTCCGCACATAAGCTCACATACAAATACACCCACACAAATGCTCATTACACATACACATACGGAAGAATTTTTAAAAAGTTCCATAATCCCTGCTCTTTTTCATATGTTTAATTCACTATTTCACACATCAAATCAAACAGCTGCAATAAAGAGAACAAAATCAATTAGGAATAAAATATAAGATGGCAGCATTTAAGCAATTAGTATAAACTGTCTTTTCTTGGGCTCTAACAAAAGAAAGTTGCCTGGGGAAAAACTGTTGTCAAATATCACTAGAGAAATTATTTGGAAGCAAGTGATATTAAATAAATGTATTAAATTCTTAAGATTCCCCAAAATTTATAAAGAAGCTTATTTTTACAACCTAACAGTTAGGAGGCTATATTGGAGCAACTGTCCTAATAATTTACAGAGGTAATTCCTGAGGCTCAGCTACTCCTACCCTGGCTAGAGGCAAATATAAAACCATTCAAGAGCAATAACAAATACAGTCGTTACCATCCATGGTAGAAGACACCAATCACAAGGCCATCTGTATAAGACCTAGCTAAGAAGATATTCAAGCTGGGTACAAAGGGAACGGTGGATTGCCAGAGGAGAAATTTTATCAGACCATGACAAACTTTTACAGATTTGCATGGTCATTAACCAACTGCTTGATCCCAAGCTACCAGTAGCAAGCTGGAAGTGAGGCAGACCTTTAAGACACTGGCACAGCCTTCTGAATTGTTTTGTGGCAATGCATGTTCAAGCTACCAAAATGAAAACCCTCTTTATAAATGAAGAACTGAAGGCAGTATTTCCTATATTATTTCACATTTGAAATTCTTTAAATAAATCCAAATTCAGCCCAATAAAAATACAAAAAAAGCAGAATTTCTTTAAAAATTATGCCAGCAGGGCTGGAAAGATGGTTCACAGGAAAGAGGGGCTAACATAAACATCTGATGACTTAGATTCTTAGATTCCACAAGGTGGCAGGAGAGAACCAACTCCCAAAAGTTGTCTTCTGACCTCCTCACTACCATACATGCAAAACCACATACACACACATGTACTCACAAATAAATACATGTGTGTGGGGGGGGGAGATATGTGTGTGTGAGAGAGAGACAGAGAGACAGAGAGACAGAGACAGAGAGACAAAGACAGAGACAGACTTCACATGTAATCCAAAGTAACCAAGATAACTGCCATTCACAATTTACCATGCTTCTCTGGCCCTGAACTTGTAGGTATGGCAGAACGGACCCTGAGAACATTAAAGCTGGAGAACTGGCCCTGGTCCTGCCCCTGGTTCATCTCTGCAAAGGTTGAACTAGCCAGGGCAATGCAGGAGAGCTCACCTTGGTGGTGAGGACAATGGAGAGCTGGTGAGCTGACCAACCCTGAAACTACCCAGGCCCTGAACCAGATTATGACTTGGCCCATCCCTGCCTCCAACCAATCTGTGAAGGGACCAGACATGCAGGCCCAAAGCTGCATGATCTCCATGACACAGGGCAACAACAGGATATCCAAGAGACGTTCCAGTGAGGATCCAGCATACATAATGTAGCAGAAACCAGACGCCTCAAACCAGACTCTTTACAAAGCACATTTGCAGGTAAAGATACGAGGGTAAAAGGATTTACTGTGTGACTATATCACACTACGGCTTCCATGATGAGACTGATTTTTTTTCCCTCTTAAATTTTGTGGGTGGGGGAGGTTGCAAGGGCAGAGGACAGATATGAAGGGATGGGGAAATGAACGAGCCAGAGATGCATGAGAAGAAAGACACAAAGAATAAATAAAAGAGAAAGTTTAAAAAAGAAAACAAAGGAACTCAGGATGAGCGAATCATGAGGAACAATCCCCAGGCACTCCTCCATTGCCTCTGCATCAGTTCCTGCCTCCAGATACCTGCCTTGATTTTTTGTTCTGACTTCCTTCAGTGATGGACTGTGATCTGAGAGTTGTAAGATGAAATAAACTCTTTCATCCTCACCCCAAAAGAATTAATACTTTTTTTTTTTCGAGACACGGTTTCTCTGTGTATCTTTGGAGCCTATCCTGGCACTCGCTCTGTAGACCAGGCTGGCCTTGAACTCACAGAGATCCGCCTGCCTCTGCCTCCTGAGTGTTGGGATTAAAGGCCTGCGCCACCAACACCCAAGGCCAAGAATTAATACTTCTAAATCTCAATGAATCAGACATAATTTTATAATTATCTTCTCATTTGAGTAATTTAAAGTTTGAAGTACAGGTGTGATATAAAGCCTAATACTAAGAAACGTAAAGAAATAGCATTTTTTTAATTAAAACTAACAAAAGAAACAAAATGGTTGTTTGAGCACAATAAATGATCACATGACTCTAAGCATAACAAATATATAACAAGATGAAACTAGAAATAGACTGGATCCCACATAAACCACAACCACCCTTTACCTCAGTCTGCAGGATGGCAGCCCTTTGTTCCTTAGCAGTGAGAGACTCCTTTAGCACCTCAATATGTTGCTTACTGTCTGAGAACTGGTTCGTGAGAGTTTCTAGCTTTGTTTGTAAGGCTAGCAGTTCAGTGTCCTTTCTGGACAACTCTTGTTTCACCTGCCCAATCTGAAAAAGAAAACACAACATTGTAAGGAGGAAAGAAATTACACAACTACCGCGTAGCTGGACATCTGGCAAATTTATGACACAAGATAGGAAACTAAATGTACAATTAACTTTATGATAAGGTAGAGATGAGGGGGTATGCTTTAGTGGTAAAGCACTTGTCTAGCAGTGCAAGTTCCTAGGCTTATCAAATAGTCAATAAATAGGACATACTAATCTCTTTGCAACATCTAATACCAGATGCTCTCCAAAAACTAAGGTTATTCCACAAACACAGAAATTTCTAATCTTCATTTATTGTCTCAAATAGTTTCTGAAACCCCTTAAGCCAACAGTTCTCAACCTTCCACATGCTGCAACCCTTTAATACAGTTCCTCATGTTGTGATGACCCAAACCATAAAACCATTTTCATTGCTACTTCCTAACTGTAATTTTTCTGCTGAGATGTGTTTCAGTTTCTAAGACCATCAGAAATATGTTTCCCGATGGTCTCAACCCACGGGTTGAGAACCACTGCCTTAGGAGGAAAAGATGGAGGAGGAAATTACAGTGAAACCAGACAAGGCAGCATTCATCACCTAAGCACCACTTCATTTTGTCAAGCCTCCATCTCCAGAAGACACTGTTTCACAGGCAGGATTAGTGTGGATGTAAAACATGAGTGGAAAAGCAACTTCCTATTTCTACTGAAAGTAAATTCAAATCCTAGTGGTATACTTTTTTTGTTTTCTTTCTCAAGCAAAAGCTTCACAAAAGCTTTCTCTTAAAAAGCTAGACTAGCTGTGCACTGCTTCTGCCTCCCAAGTACTGTGCTGAGATTAAAGACCTCACTACTACCACACCCAGCCACCTTCTTTCCTATTTTGAACTCATTAAACTTTTAAAAAAAGAAAAAAAAAGATTAAAAAGGAAAGCCGTCTTATGACATTTTCTGATCTTATATTACAGGAAATAGCTACAAGGCAGATTAACTACTGAACAGAAATACAGTAAATCAGTAACTTTCATGGCAAATGAACCAAAATTCCTTGAGTTTTAGAAAACAATATCTCTAAAATTTTTTACTAATCTTAGGTAAGGGGAAAAGGTTTTTAAAGCAATTTCATTAGAAGAAACAAAATTTACCTTAAAATGAGACTTTTACTTTGGGAACATAACTCAATGGAAGAGTTCTTCCCTAACATGTACAAGACCCTACATTTGATCTCCCACAATAACAACAGGAAAAAAAGAGGGAGGGCGGGCATGCCAATTACGTTTAAAGATCACTAAAAACAATTGAGTCTTCTCTTACAGTAAGACAGCATTTTTCTATACACATGGAAACCATTTACTGATACAGTAGTCATTCATATTTTATATGCCTATTATATGCAAATATGAAAGGATATTAGTGCTATCCCTTTACCAACAACAATAATACATATTAGTATTATTCCATCTGTAACATATATATTATTTAAATTTTAATATACATAATTAATATAAATACAAAAATATTTGCTCTATAGATAAATGCTCAGAATATTCAAAGTATTACTACTTTCTCAGGAAAGAACTATAGTATTCAAATTTCTGTATACTTTTAAACATGGGTCACAAGTAAACAGAAGCCAGGTATGGAGGTACACACCCAAACCTGCCAATGCTATTGAGGCTGAGGCAAAATCACAAGTTTGATGACTAACCTACATAATAAAATTCCAAAACACATATACACGTACACAGAGAAAGAGTTCATCTCTGCACAGGACTGTTGTTTCCTTGCTGTGTGCATTATTAAACCAGCTTTACAGACCCTTAAGGACTGAGAAAGAGAAGAAAACACTTTCAACAAAAGAAAAATTTAGAAGCTCAAATCTTCCATCTAGAAGGAGAAAGAACTAGGTAAGGAGCACATAGTGGCAATTAGCCACTGAGGAGATCAGTAATGTTATTCTCTACATCTTGGTTGCCGAACTGGCAATGGAGAAACTATCCAAAGCCTCATACTGTTTAGGAATTCAATAAAATAATGTAAGAGATATACTTGCCCTGCTGTCTGATACACATAAATGAATAAAATAGCTAAGAAAAAAAAGAAATTATGTACCAATTTCTCCTCCAGATAATATATAGTTAACACCATAATCCAAATTAGATCATTTCCAAACACAGGATTTTACTTTTTAACCTACAATACAAACTAGCCATAAGTAATACTGGATTCTAGTCTTAGTCCATCATTCTTCCCAAGGGTAGTTTTTCCATTCATCTTTGGCACTTTGAAGAAGATGTGCATGGACAATACAGACCAAAAGTGAAGAAATTACAAGCTTGTAGAATGGGATTGCTGGTGTCAATCAAACCCTGCCCCTTATGAGCTGTGGTTTCCTTACCTGAGTTTTCTCATCTGTAAATTAGTGTGGATAACCCCAGATGCTTCTAGTAAGTATACAAGTAGTGGTTATTTTATTATTATTTATTAGAATGGTTTGAAATACAGCTTTAGTAATTTAAAATAAATATCACACTAATTTGTGCTAAACTCCCAGGTAACTTTAAATAGGCTAATCACTCTCTATACATCTGTCCTAAAGAAAATAACATTTGTTGCAAAACCTCCTAACGGAAACTTAAAGATAATGTCTCCATGTAGCTAAAGCACTTTTCTCAGCAATTTCAAATGTAGGTAAGTTGTAGGTGATGGGCCATAAGACATCTGCATATTCCTGTACCTAAAAAGAATGGAGGGAAAGACCATTCATATAAATCAACATACATGTACTCAACAAGGGGATGCTGAATGGGAGTTTTGAGAACCATCCACAGAGCAGCACAAACAACAAAGAACCAGGTGTAGGGCTTCCAGAATCCATGTGGACTCAGTGTGCACAAGTGATATATGTGTCAAACTGTGAACAAAGGTCAGTTAAAAGAGCAGAGCAGGCTGGTTAGTGCTAAGAATTGGCAGAGCTGCCATCCACACAGAGAATGAAAGTGTAAGCCACCCAGAAGCCAGAGCCGGCAGGGTCCCACTGTGGGATCACTGCACACAGAGAGGTAAATCTTACTGCAAAGACCTCAGACTGAAGACCAGCAGCTCTCTTTTTCAGCTCCTCCCCTTGAGCCTCTTTCGAACTTAGTTCCTCCTTCAGTTGTTCTACCTGTCACGACATTGTTATTGTTTTTCACTCATGTGCCAACTTAGGTCTTCAAATTATCTGATTTTGAGCCACAGTGACCTCTGAAATAACAGTAACTTACATATAATAATCAAATCTGTTCCCCTAATTCAATTTTCAAAGGCATATACTGTCTCTGCTTCAAACTTTTTTAAAGAACTAGAAAGTACTGATCAACAAAAAGGAAGTGTAATATAGACTATAATACGGCATATTTTGTCCTAAAATCATGAAGAAAATCCAAGGTAACAAAAAGTTGGGCACATCAATTTTTTAGCTTTTAAATAACATGCAATTAGTATAAACCATCAATAACAGACTCTTTTAGTAATAGAGGAAAATTCTATAGACATATGCCAGATACAGACACAACAAAAAGCCTCAACAGGGTAAGGAGTCACACTTGTATCATTCCTTGGCAGTCAAATACAGGGAATGTTTCCATTTTCAGTTCCAAGAAACTGAAGAATACAGCTGCTGTACACATTTGGGAAATGCAGCGAATAATATTTTTCTAGCTAAAATTTCATTGTTAAAATTATTTATTTGTTTATTTTTTATTTTGAGACAGACCCTCACTATGTAGCCCTGGCTAGCCTGGAACTCACTATATATGTAGACCAGACTGGCCTCCAAGTTGCAGCAGTCTTGCTGCCTCTGTTTACCAAGTACTGGGACTGCAGGCATGTGCCACCATGTCCAATTTTTTACGATTATAATTTTTAATTAAACCACAATAAAACTAAAATCTTCAATTTTATTTAAATAGTTCATAGTATCAAACTAAATGACTCTGGATCTGAATAAAGAATGTTGTGGCTGATTTTAAACCACACTGACAGGTCTGAGTACTCACTACCCTACTGTACACAAGCCCAAGAACACATAGGAAGCAACAAATCTAGTAGCAAATGAACTCCCAAAATGGAGAGAGCAAAGGCCTTCCATTCTTGGAACTTGTTTAAAGGGGAAACATTTAATTTGTTTTGGAGAAAACAACTCTCAAGAATTTGACTTAAAATACTTCCCAAGCTGTACGGTGGTGGCGCATGCCTTTAATCCCAGCACTCGGGAGGTAGAGGCAGGTGGATCTCTGTGAGTTTGAGACCATCCTGGTCTACAAGAGCTAGTTCCAGGACAGCCTCCAAAGCCACAGAGAAACCCTGCCTTGGGGGAAAAAAAAAAACCTTCCCAAAACAGGTAGAGAATGAGCTGTCTCATACAATAACAAGAAATGCATCTGAACAAAGTTCCAAAGTTCCATCAAATCATTTCACAAGTTCTTACAGAAAAAAAAACAAACAACAACCATAACAACAAAAAACTATAACATGTCCTGTCAGACAATTCTTATTTAAATAAAAGCCTGCAGTAACTAAATGACACTAGTAATTCTGACTTTAATTCTAGGAGTTTCTATGTGGGGGCAGGGGAGACCACTCCTGTAAAGTCGACTAAAACATAAAGAAGACCTTTATCATCTCTAATATGAAAAAGTATACATAAAATTTTAAAGCTTCTAGGAACTGAAGTATCTGTTCCATACCTTATTTTTCATGAATTTGGAGTGGCTCCTATACACCTCCATTTGCTTCATTTCTTCTTCCCGTTCTTCGGTACTCAAAGCCCCATTTGATTTCAGCATCTGAATTTCCTCTTCCAGGTCTCGGAGTCCACGCTCCATGGAAGAAATTTTTGAATCCTAGGAACAATGGAAGAGTTAAAGTGTTAAAATATTTACAAAGATTAAAAGTAGCTTAATAACTAACTGTGTCTCTCAAAACACTGAATTTACTAATAGCAAATACACAGAAAAATCTGCTGCTCTAGCATGTGTGACGAGGAAGACACATGCTCACAACACGATTACACCTCTTGCTTCCTCCAGCTACAGACCCTTAAAACTTAAGCAGACATAATTAACCTAAAAGGTAGAAACAATAAAGAATAGCTAAAGGTTCTTTTAAGATCAACAAATTTTTGACAGTAGAAAAAACTGTAATATTAACAGCAAAACCTTTTCTATTCTAATATTTCATCACTTTATTTAGTGACCTCTGGGGAGCATGCTTCTTTAACTAAATAAGAAAAAATAGCCAGGCGTTGGTGGTGCAGGCCTTTAATCCCAGCACTCGGGAGGCAGAGGCGGGTGGATCTCTGTGAGTTTGAGGCCAGCCTGTTCTCCAGAGCGAGTACCAGGATAGGCTCCAAAGCTACACCCAGAAACCCTGTCTCAAAAAACCAAAAAAAAAAAGAAAAGAAAAGAAAAGAGAGAGAGAGAGAGAGAAGAATATAAGTTTGAAAGAATTGTACAATAAAATCCATAATTATGTACGTGATGATAATTATCTAGCATTCCAATTGAAAAATTCAAGAGAGAATAATTGTAGTAACAGTTACTTTTTATACATTAGAAATCTTATTCTCTGTTCTTCTGGCATATATTTGGAATATCTACATATGTTTTAAAATCCACTAACTTCCATGGCACATGTCTATAGTCCTGGGTATTTAGAAAGAGACAACAGGAGGATTACTTGAGACCAGGAGTTCAATGACAGTCTAGGCAACATAGTAAGACAACCCCCTATCTCAAAAATAGTTAAATTAAATAATAAATCACTGATTTTATAAATCATTACCACAAATATTACCTCCTAGTCTACATATTTCTATACTCAATATCTTGGTTTGTGGCAACCTATAACTTATCCTCAACATATGCCATATATCATCAATTACAGCAAAATGGCTACATGAAAATAATTTTGAACATGCTTATTTGCCTAAGAAATAGAAGCTTTAAAGAATTTAAGTATAGCTTCATTTTACTCCAAGCTTTAGAGAACATTTTGGGATGGAATTCTGAAACTGTCTGTCTGGGTTGGCTGTGTTGGCTACTGTTAATTCCTAGTGCAGAAAGACAGAATTTAAGGATCTGTCATGAGACAACTTCATCCAGCAATTTTCAGGTTTGGGGAGCTAAGTAGGAAAGGGTAGTACCCTTGCCTATACTATCCCAACTTTACTATCCGAAACTCACTTTTAAGATTAACATAAATTTCTCTGCAAGTATCAGGACATGGTCTCTTTAAAATGACTAAAACACCAGCTAAGAGTCAAATGTAAGTTCTTCCATGCCCACATCTAGGAGCAACAAGAGGGAATGAACAGAAAGGAAAAGGGATCTGTGTATCTTTAGCACAGCTTTGATCACAAAAGACAACAGTGGCCCAGAGTAACAGCACTAGTGCTGTACAACCACAGCAAACTAGCTGTATAGCTTCTCCAAGGCCCTGACCCAAGCCTTACATCTTCTCCACTCATGACAATAACACAAGACAAAAATCAACTCACTACCAAATATATAGCACAAAAACTTCTTTCTAGAAAAGACCATTACTGTTGCTGTGAAAACCTCAAGGCAAACACGGTCTGCCAGGGGAAAGATGTGTCCATTTATTCTTTGAAATCAGGTTGGAAAAACTAGCCCTTCTTTGTATAATAAATTCTAATGGTACCAAGCCTGGGTTTTTGTGAAGATAGTTCTCCCAAGCACGTTTTCCACTTTTCTGTGAAGTAAGCAGAAAATTAAGTTCCCTTTTACTTTCCCACTCTACTTTCCAAGCCTTCTCCCCTATGTCAGCCACTCCTTAATAGGCCTTCTAAGATCTACTCCTTGAGAAATCCCCCACCCACATCTCCAATTCCAAAGGTAGTCTCATTTCCCCAAGAAAACTGGGCTTTCCTGAAGATTGTAATTACCCTGAGCTACCTCATTTTGCAACATCAGAGACCAGCTTCCAATCACCTGGAAGATAAACTTCTGAGGCATCTTAGGGTATGTATATCCAGGTTAAGTGTTGAACATGGAAGGCCAGTCTTGAAATGAGAGACACTATCCCATAAGCATCCGGGACTAAATAAACAGAAGAAAGCCAGCGGAACAGCAACACTAACGTCTTTCTGCTTCCTAACTGTGAACACAAATGCCTCACACTCTTACTGCCTCATCTCATCCCATGGACTCTACCTGAAGCCATGATACAAAATAAATACATCCTTTTTTTTTTTTTTTTTTTTTTTTTGCCAGACGTGTTGTTCTAGCAATGAGAAAAATAACCAACACAGCTTCCACCTGGTCCTTCTTGTTGACAGAATCTTGTTTTACAATATAACCTTGGTAAGACTTAAAATGTACCCACTGCCAATTAACAAAATTACACATCTCTGATCTGTGAGAAGAATTTAAAACAAATAACACCAAACCATGTGTGATCATGTGTTTCATCCTTAGACATCAACATGGATCAAGAAATAACATGCACAAATAAGCCTATGTCATGTGACTAAGGAAAAGCCATAAAATTAAACCATTTGAAAGGGCCCTATAAGATTATATTCAACCTTGTTATTATATAACTGCAAAGCGCCCAAAAACTAATAATTAAATTTTTTTTGAGAAATCCCTTCCCCACTGAAAAAGAAAATATACTTAATATGAGCAAAGTTTCATCATTGCCAGCCAAATCATACTGTTGCCAGTCAAGGCTGCAGTGAGACCTTATCTCAAAACACATAAATGCACCCACCCCCAAATGGGGGATAACACAAACCAAGCCTCTTATGAGGTATGAATAAGTTAAGAAAGCAGATAGAACTAAATGGGCTTTTGTAAGGAAGAACATAAAGCAGAAGTCAGATAGCACATGCCTATAATCCTAGCACTCAGGAAGCTGAGACAGGAAGACGGCAAGTTCAAAACCAGCCTAGGACACAGGGAGAGGAAAGGAGGACCGTGTGTGTGTGTGATGATTAGTTTTAAATATCAACTAGCTACCCTGAATTGCTTTGGAAGAGAGTCTCAATGAGGAGTTATCTACATCATATTGGCCTATGCAGGGACTGTTCAGATTGCACTAATTCAGGTGGGATGGTGCCACCTGAACGTGGGTGGCACCAGTTCATGGACTGGGCCCTGAACTGTACAAGATAGAAGAAAGCTAGATAAGAGCAAGCCAGCAGGCAGCAATAATACATTTGTTTCTCTCTGATCTTGATTACAGACACAATGTGACCAGCTGTTTCAACTTCCTGCCTTTGTCTTCCCTGTAATGGTGAGCTATTACACAGAACTGTAAGCCAAATTGTGACAACAAAGGAAACCAGAAGACCATATGTTTAATAAAAATACTAGCAATACCACCTAACATCAGCTGTTACCTATGTGCAAGGTTGTGTCCAAAGCATTTTATAGGTTTTAACTACAGAACCTCAAATTAGCCAATGAAGGGGATTCTTATCACCATTAGCAGATTTTTTTTTTCTTTAACCAGAGAAAGAGCCATAGAGAGGTTAGGAACTTGCTTCTTGTCACATATCTGATAAAATGTAGCTAGATTTTTAAATCAAAGGAGCTTAATTCAGAAAGCAAACTCTGTAACTCCTGGAGATTTTTAACTAATGACTGACTTAAAGCAGTTTTTCAAAATATCATCTTTCCAATCAGCGTCCTCTAGACATAGAGTCTTCAGAGTTAAAGCAACTTTCACAGTTATCTTACAGTTATCATTGAGTCTTTCCAATATTTTGACAGTTGCACTGATAAAGGAAACAATGGACAAAGGTACTAGTACCTGAGCACAAGCCAGGACAGTGGCACTACATAACAGTAGTAGTCATGACATTCTTTAGGGAGATAAACTGGCAATGAAGAAAAGAATAAATAACTAAAATTTTAAAACAATGTCCTTGATTAAGCAGTTAAAATGCATTACTTCTAATAAATTTCAACCATCAAATATGTATGAAAAAATGGGAATTAGGCATGGAGCATTTACACTGCATACTGAAGAACAATGGTTAACCCTAGCAACAGCACCTGCAGGATGCTCTGAGGTACAAGCTGAGCTGGCTAGGTGCTTCCTTCTTAGAGCACAACTCTTACTGAAAGCACAACTGGCACAACTATGACTACTAAGTCTTGGGTTTTGGCAAATTTTGTTCTTAAAAATGAAGGAAGTATACCAGGTGGTGGTGGCTTTAATCTCAGCACTAGGAAGGCAGAGGCAGGCGGATCTCTGTGAGTTGAAGGCCAGCCTAGGTTACAAATTGAGTTCCAGGACAGTCAGGGCTACACAGAGAAATTCTGTCTCCAAAGAACAAAACAAAACAAAAAAGACCCGTCAACTTTAAGAGAAGTATGGGATCCTAACATTAAGAGTTTAAATCTCTCTCTGTCTCTCTCTGTCTCTCTCTGTCTCTCTCTCTGTCTCTCTGTCTCTCTCTGTCTCTCTCTGTCTCTCTCTGTCTCTCTCTGTCTCTCTCTGTCTCTCTCTGTCTCTCTCGTGTGGGCGCGCGCGCGCACACGTGCGCAAGCATGTATATGTGGGTGACAGACATGAGTATGCATGTACAGACCAAAAGATAAACTCCAATAGTGTTCCTTAAGCACTAGCCACACTATCCTCTCTGTTTTGTGAGACAAAGCTCTCATTGGTCAGGAACTCACCAAGTAGGAGAGGCTAGCCAGCCAGCAAGCCCAGAGAGTTCCCTGTCCCTATCTCCCCAGTGCTGAAATCACAAGCATGTGCCAAGCAGCTCAACTTTTCTACATAGGTTCTAGGGATCCAGCTCAGGTGCCCAGCAAACCGTTTACTGATAGCTATCTTTGCAGGCCAATAAATTTCATTTTCCATACTTCTTCTTTTCATTTGAATATGTTAATCACATAAAATAATCAGTTTTATTGTACCATTTTCATACATATATGAACATAATTTGATCATGTTTACCCCCATTACTTCTGTTATCACCCTCCTTCCTGACTAGTTTTCCTTCTTCTTGCCTAATAATCTCCTCTCTACTTTAGAAGCTTGACATTTGACTTAAATACTAGACAACTCTTTTTGGTCTCCTTCAAATTATGTCCAACAACTAAAAAGAAACTGAAAATCCTGTTAAGGCACTCTTTCATGAAGTCCTACACTTTCCTCTCAGTCTCCCAGTTGAGCAAAGTATTATTGTTACCATAACTCTCTACACATGCAGGAAGGCAATCTTAGCAGTCAAGAGTGAAAGGTGACTCCAAGATTCCTCATGAGATTCTCACTTACCTTCATCTCAATGACGGTTTGCAAGGCTTTTGTTTTGGCAGAATCAGGGGCATTCTCAAATCTCCGATGCATCTCCTAAATAGAAGCAAAAGAGAGTCAGTGGCTGCCTTCCTATACTCATGCCTTTTTTGTTCTCACTTTGTAGCTCTGGCTGGCCAGGAGCTCTCTATGTATACCTGGCTGGCCTTGAACCCAGACCCACCAGATCCTCTGCCTTCCAAGTTCTGGTATTAAAAGAATGTGCCACAGCACCTAGCTAGAAGTGTAAGATGTTGAAAATAGCTAAGTCAAATTTGTGGTCAGTGGACCCTTTCTTTGCCACAGACCCTTACCTGTGGATCAGGAAATCCAGACTGCATTCTGTCTAATTCAACATACCTGGAGGATCCCTGGCTCTGAACAGCTAGTTGTTTGATTAGTCATAGTAATACCAACAACTACAATCATAGAAACTACCACACATCATTAGATCGACATATTAGTAAGACATGAAACCAAAACTGTAAATGACTTAAAAGGGGAGACAAAAAAGGTACCCCGCCTTTTTGTTTTTTTGTTTGGTTTTTCAAGACATGGTTTCTCTGTGTAACAGCCCTGGCTGTCCTAGAACTCACTCTGTAGACCTGGCTGTCCTCAAACTCAGAGAGATCTGCCTGCCTCTGCCTTCCAAGTGCTGGAACTGAAGGTGTGCTCCACCACTGCCCAGATGAAAAGCCCCCTGGGGTGGAATGCTTTGTTTTTCAAGACAGGGTCTCTCTGTATAACTCTGGAGCCTGTCTTGGAACTCACTCTGTAGATCAGTCTGGGCTTGAACTCAGAGATCTGCCTGCCTCTGCCTCCTAAGTACTGGGATTAAAGGTGTGCACCACAACCTCACAGGTGAAAATATCCCTTTTCAAAAAGGAGAAACAAAGGCCATCACAGCCAACCTGCACTGCAGAGTTATGATGTTCTCTATGTTAACTGCAGCACTCACCTCCAGAGTAACAAGTGCCTGGTTACCTGTGATGAACACTTCCAGAGGGACTAGAGAGGAAGAAAAACTCAGTTGGACAAGTTTCCAAGTAGGTCAAAATGAGAAAATATGACAGCTTTCTTTTTTATTTTTTAGACATTTATTTATTTATTTATTTTCCGAATATGAGTGCTCTATCTGCATGTACACTCTTATGTCAGAAGAGGGCATCAGACCCCACTCTAGATGACTATGAGCCACAGACAACCATAAAATTACTGTTATGAATCATAAAAAAAAAAGAAATAACAACAACAACAAAAAAAAAACAAGTTGATCTAGTCACCCCACACTCAAAACCCAGTTGTCTTAGTTAGGTTTCTATTGCTATGAAAATACGCAATCACAGCAACTCTTATAAGAAAAACATTTAATTGAGGGGACTTGCTTGCAGTTTCAGATGTTCAGTCCATTATCATCATGGTAGGAAGCATAGCAGCATACAGACAGATATGGTGCTTGAAGAGTAGCTGGGAGTCCTACATCTTGCAAGCAACCGGAAGTTGATTGACTCACTGGGCAGTATCTTGAGCACAGCAACCCTCAGAGCCCACCCCCACAATGACAAACTTCCTCCAACAAGGCCATACCCACTCCAACAAAGCCACACCTCCTAATAGTGCCACTCCCTATAAGATTATGGGGGCCAATTACATTCAAAGTACCACACCTGTCAAAGTTCTCCAGGTGACATGTTTTCTTGAAAGACTGTAAAACCTCATTTCATCACTGTATTTCAATCATACTGGACACCTAGCTGTTCCCCAAATATGCTTAGCTGTCGAACTCTCTCTCATCCCTCATACCAAATGAATGCTTTACCTCCAACTGTTCATAGCTCAAGTGTCTCTTAAATATTTAAGGTGGATTAGCTGATGTTATGTTTAAACAAGAAAATGTCCATGTGATTTATAGATACACACCAAAGACAGTAGGAGTAAAATTATTATGCCAGGATATTATCTTAAATTTGTTAGTGAAGAGAAGAATAGATGAATGTCTGTCTCCTGAAATAAGCATATTTTCCTGCTTTGTACGTCTAGTAATTGTCTAGTAATTTATTATAGGATGGGCATGATGTCATTATGGAATGCCCAAGTTCTAGTGTCTTCACTAATGAAACAGTCTTCGTTATTATCTTTTTAAATTATTTAACTATTCTGTGCATGAATGTGTATTCAATCAACATATACACAGAAAGTACAAATAGAATGGAACTATTATTCTAGCCAATAAGCTAAGAAGTAGCTGAATTGTATATGGAAGATTAAATCTATAATTAAAATTTTTAAGTGTATTTTGAAGAAACAGAGCTAAAGATACAGCTCAGCTGGTAGAGTGCTTGACTAGCATGAACAAAGCCATGGGCAGTCCTCAGCTCAGGCTGGATTCCTGCAACTGTGTAAAACAGAGGAGGCAGGAAGATCAGAAGCTCAGTCTGCAGAATGCAGTGAATTCAACACCAAGTGGACTATAGAAAACCATCTCTAAAAAGATTAATTAAATTTTAAAAAAAGAAAAAGAGGATGAAACACAGTCAGGATACTTACTGGAGTTAAAAATTATATTAGTCTATCATACATAAATATAATAATGTTTTAATATTAAGAATAGAGATATCATAAATTCGGTAAAAAGCAAATGAATGACCACAAAAGCCAAGATCACAGTCGTTCTTAGAGGGTAAAAAGAGGCTCTGCCCCAGTGATGCTACATGGGAGCTCTGGGTGACGATTAAAGTTCCCTTTCTGTACCTGGGTGGTGGTGAGGAAGCTAAGCTACACAGCTGTTTATACTATTGTTTTGAGGTAATGGGGTCAACCTCAGGGACTTGCACAGCCCTGATTCACAGCACTTTCTATATAATGTCTTCAACTTTTCATGTTCTCTCCCACCCAGTACTTAAATACATTGTTCAGTCCAGATTAATCTCCCACCTTTATTAAGATAAATCCACTAGCTATAGCTTGTTCACAATGAATCTATTCCCCACACTGTACACAAATTGCTCACTGAGTATACACTAGAAACTTCTAATGACGTTTGCATAACAAATGAGTGTAAGATTTGATTATATAAATAATAAAAATAAAATAAGCTATACTAAATATAAACAATTTTCACATACTAATAAAGCACTAAAATTTATATTTACATTCATTATTTAGTGCTTCTATCCTTGAAAGTATTGAAGTTTAATTTTTTTAAATAATTCCCAATTTAGGTATTTAACTAATTTTATGAAATCTTTTCCCCATTACCTAATTCTAAACAAGTAATTTCAAAACACTCCATTTTGTGGTAAACTATTTTATTTTTAAACCATAGCACACAGGCAAAGAAAGTGTAAAGAAAAGCAAAACTTTTCAAATTTTAAAGATCCTACATGTATAACAAAGGATGGCTAGAATGTGCTCTAGAACTCACAAGCATAAAGCTTTCCCACTGAGCTACATCTGAAATCCCATAATCAAATTTCTAACCATGGGCCTTTGCATTCAAGTTCATTGTGAACACATCTTGCATTCAGTGGGCTGACAAACTCCTCGTTCCCACTGAACATATCAAGCCTCTTTTTCATGCCCTGTAAATAATGGGAGAGACTGGAAATAGAAGTAAATTACTATTCAAACAAGCATAAGAAGAAGAATGCACTATTTGCTCACTTCATTTCATCCCTATTGGCTGAAATTTTTCATGTAAAAACAAAGCATTGGGAAGAACATTGGGTTAGTACAGTGCTTCCCATGGGAGCATAAGGATCCAAGTGAGATTCCCTAGAATTCATGTAATTAGCTGACTCAGCAAGTCCAGGTCCATGAGATGCTGTCTCAAAAGACAAAGAGGCTGGGCATGGTGGCTCATGTCTTTAATCCCAGGACTCAGGAGGCAAAAGCAGGATGATCTCCATGAGTTTGAGGTCAGCTTGGTCTACAGAGCAAGTTCTAGGATAGCCAGGGCTACACAGAGAAACCCTGTCTCCAACGACCAAAAAAGAAAAAAAGCAAAGGTTACAGCTCATGAGGAACAACTCCTGAGGCTGACTTTTAGGCATACACACACACACACACACACACACACACACACACACACACAATATTTTAAAATAATTTGTTGTATACCTCTAATTCCAGCAGACAGGAAGATGAGACAAAAGCATGGAGAATCTGACTGGACTACACAGAGAAATGTTTAGGACAGGATAGGACAAAGAACAGGAGTCAGGGCAGGGAAGGGAAAGACAGAAAGGAAAGCGGAAACAGGGGTGGGAAGGGAAAAGGAACAGGAAAGGGGAAACGGGGGAGATGGGAGAGGAGGAAGATGGGAGGAAAGGAAACACGGAAAAGAGGGGAAAGAAAAGGAGGGGGAAGGGAAGGGGCAAAGGCAAAAGAGGGCCAGAGGAAAGGAAGAGAGAGCCAAGGGGAGAAGGGGAAGAGGACTAGGAGGAGAGAAAGGAATGGGGGAAAAAGGAAGAAAAGGAGTAGAGGGGAGGGATAGAGTGGGAAGAGGGGAAAGAAACATAACTATGGTAGAAGTCTGTCTACACAGTGAGAGCCTATCTCTTAAATATATATATATATATATATATATATATATATGTTTAAAATTTTAATATATACAGGTAGTATATGTGTATATATGGGTAGAATTATGTATATATGAGTACAATTATTTGAATTTTCTAATAACATTGAATAGTTTGTAGTGCAAATAACAAACTTGTTATCTCCTCTAATTTAGGTAACCTGAAGTTTGAAAACAAAACAGGAAAATTTATGCTCCTTTTCTCAGTAGATTCTTTCATTTTAAAAGAAAATAGCCTGGAGACTGAGCAAATTGGTACAGCACTTGTCTAGGCCCTAGGTTCAAGCTCCAAAACCATAAAATAGTGGTAATTATAATAATGTATATTAATTTGATAGTACAGTCCTTGATCTAGCATGTGCAAGGCCATATGTTCAATTCCCAACGCGATGAAAATGTGTTTTTTATAAATATGACAGAAAGGAAGGAAGGAAGGAAGGAAGGAAGGAAGGAAGGAAGGAAGGGGAAAAGTCTA